AAAAGGAAATGGTTTCGTACGCCCGCCATATGGAGCAGATCGTGTTAATTAAACGTCGTGGCGTAGAGGTTAGCATTCGGTGGAACTCCCACACGAATATCGATATTCTTACTGAGATCTTCATAGTTTTCCTCAGTCCTTCTAGACAGATTACGTAATATTTTGTTTAAAAAGCATGAATGTTATGCTTTCGATCCTCTGGGATGTGACGCCGTGTGGATTGTTACGTAGTAGCGTTTATGATGAACGTGCTGCCTCCATCTTGTGCTGCCGTGAAGATGGAAGCATCATGTTCCTCCGAAACATTTGTACGTATCTACCAGACTACACTGCTTTACATTCGAAAAGACTGCAATGTTAAGCCTTCCGTTTTATGACGCATACAATTTTCAACTAACGCGCTTCGTTAAATCAATAAACTAACAAACGCGTATTCACTTTGTGCTTAATTAAATGCCTTATAGTTCGTAATTATGACAGTAGTCATTGCCTATATGCCAAAAGCTTCGGTAATTAATGGTCGATACATGTAGTGGCTGCAGATATCACGATAAGCTGTTTGTCATGTCCTGTGAATATTCGACTAATTCATAAGCACCATAGCATCAGCGACACGGCCCATGAATCATGTTTCCCGACTGCGAAAGCACCGTGTCAATGTTTTAATGACTACAGCACCAATATTCCAAGCGCAGAACTGCATTACTCTCCAAGCGTATAGATGACCCAACCTACAGCGCAGTAGCGTTGGTTGCTTAACACCTATTTTGTACCTTCCGTAAGCCATTAATAACAGAATAGACAATTGTTTGAGACTATTGTGTTCAGGTACAGAACAGTAAAACTTGAGTATGAATTGGTACCAAGGGAACAGCGTACATGTGTCAGTGTAGTGGTGTATACAGTAAGTTCAGAGACGAATACAACATTACATTGCGTTGTCTGATTTATACCCATCTGATCATAGTTACTATTCTTTGACAGTGTAAAGTCATTACGAAACTAGAGGCTCCATTCCATATACTCACAAAAGCAAAAACAATCTCCGTGTCCTGTAGTCCGTAAGCGAACTATACCGACCGAGCGACCACCACCTGTCTGCGAAGTTAGTGCCAACTTTAGCGGAGAGAGGGTGTCACGTGGTCAGCGCAACGGATCCCCACAGCCGTTAATCTCGGTTTTCTAGACCGGAGCCGCTATTTCCTTGAAATAGCTCCTCAGTTATCCTCACGAGGCTGAGTGGACCGCGTTCCAGACCCACTAATTCTCAGAAAATTTGGTAGCGCCGGGAATCGAACCCGGGACCGCTGGATCTGTAGCCAAGAGCTCTGACCACTAGACCACAGAGGCGGACCAGTATACTCACTCTTCAAAATAACAATCAGCATTGAAATAATACAAAATGCAGGTTTAAAGAAGTTCTTCTGAATGAACATTTTTCGTGAAAAAAGTGCCATGCCGTAGCTTAGGCATTTAGTGGCAATTTTCCCACCTCGGCGTCCCGTATTGGATCTCAAGTCAGGTAAAGTGGGATTTGTGAAGGAAAAAATGGCACTGGGGACCGGTTTCTCCCTAGTACTTCTATTTTCCCTGCCAATTCTTATTCTACCAACTGCCCTCCAGTCATTAATCATCAAATTATACGTGGTAGAGTCATTAAGTTCGAGGAATGTGGTTTTATCGCATCATATTACAAGGTAGTCACATACACTTAAGCAGTTGCCTTTGGCCGCTATGCAAGTCTGCCGACGTTGATATAGCTGTCGAAAACCAGTCTGCACTAGTCTGCTTTTTGCGGTTCTCACGGTCTCTTCGCTTGCAGATTTCTTGTATTTTTTCTTCTACCCTGAATATGGAGGCGATACGTTCCTCCGAAACGTCGGTTAACACCACATATACACGGTGCCAAATCCCAGAAGACTGCTTTCTTCATAGTCACCCCCGTGAAAGCCTCAAATCTTACATTGCTGAAACATATTGGCAGTAAATTCCCGTCCCATTCCACGAACTTATTGACTGTGGTAATATAGTCTTGATGTTGGCACCGTCGTCAAATAACCAACCAACGAATCATGAAAGTGACAGCCGATGAGATGGGAGCTGTTGTTGGCAGATATATCTATCGGCAGAATTGATACGACCTGCAACCAACGGGTACGCACACGTAATCACACGCAACGTCTTGATTGTATAATACGGTAACAGGCCGTGGAGGCCCATAGGTTTGTGAGACGTCGAGGCTCCCACATTTGCTCTAGACAGTCGGCTCACAGATGGCGGTGAGGTTGTCAGCCTTGCGCACCGGCCGCCCTTTACTCCAGGAANCCCCCCCCCCAATGTAGAGAGAGAAGAACTCATTTTGAGTAAGACGTTAATTTTAACGGTTTCTTTTGTGTACGTTTTGAAGACCTGGCTTACGATGAAGTCCATTGGCAGGCTTATGTTATTATCACCTTCTGTTTGTGTTACGAGACGTAGATACTGGGTTAGTCAATCAAATCATTGGTTACTCAGACAGTTAACTTGGTCGTTACATATCTGATCATTTATTTGATTAGGTTATCAAGGACGTAAATAGGTAAGAATTGAAGTTGAAATCACAGTGGTGGTTTCTGAGGGTTCTGCCTTCGGGAGTATAACACTGTGAAACAAAGCTATGCTTTCTGCCTGCTTCGTGCTGGTTTCTTGGTTGACTTACTCTTCAACTCTGAAAATGAAGGCGACTTTCTTCTCCGATAAGTCGACTGACTTTCAGCGAATTGTGCGGCGTTGTGTCTCAGAAAAAAATAGGTATTCAGTAATGGGTATATAAGTGTAGGAAAGGTAAAGTTGTCCCTGTGCTTAGCTAAATAAGCACTGCGCCATGAAGTGATAGGGGGAGTGGTTGTATGGGCCCACGTTTTCTTGACCTGCTAAGTGGGCCCCAGAGCCGGTCTGGACGACATAAAGAAGTGAAAATTTTTGACCCCACCGAGACTCGAACTACGACCTCTCGGTCGTACAGCTCGTAACCAGTCGCTATACCGACTGTGGATCTATACATCCACTCCCCCATACGCTTTCATGGTGTAGTGCTTAATTAGTTAAGCACAGGGACAACTACGTTTTACTGGGCTCTAAAGGGTTTCTGGTGTTGCCGAAAGGAAACCGCAGTGAATCTTGGGAAGTTAAAGCAGGAGACACAGGTACAGTACGGCCAGTAGATATGAGATAAGCAACAATAGTTGTATTGGCTCAGACTGTGTTGAGAGTGACGCTAGTAGGAGAAATCTGAAAATGAAATCAGTGCAGAATAAAATGAAGGAGCGCAGACAAAATTGCGTAAACCATGTCGGTAGAATTACTGACGAAATAGCACTAAAATATATTCAGCAGTGTAAACCAAAAGGATGCCGAGACCTGGGAAGACCTTGAAGAAGATGGAATGAATATGGGAAGGCGGAGCAGGCTTGATTGGCTGTACCGTTAAGTGGTGAAGAAGAATAAGAAGAATCGGGCCAACTGGTTTTGTGTGATTTGCAAGGAACTCAGCGTTCACCCGTTCGGTACTGATTTGCAACCTTGCCTCACCCCTGGCGGCCCAGATTTACGTTTCGAAAACGTAACGATATACCCCAATAAGGTTCGTGCCACGTTCATAGCCTTGTTCCTTGCAGGATAGGAAAATTAGGCTAATGAATAGTCTGGCGTGTTGCCCTAACTTCGTTCTGGTAGGAGAACCGGAAGGAGAAATACAGCATGGAAGACATAGGCGTAGATAGTGGGATAATATTAAAACGGGTCTCAATGACCGACTACGAAACATGACGCGAGCTTCACTACGTATCATAAAGAATCGAATTATTGTTACAGAACAACGTGACGGCACACGGCTTAACCTGAATAAAGAAGTAGCACGTACGAACGTGCAGTGCAAGAGACCCATAACATCACGACTTGGCCCCCAAACTACCACACAATATCGAAGCTGAACCAGGAGAGGAGTTACCAGTATAGCTTTAGAATGGTCAAATGGGCATTCACAGCCAGCTCCAACTATTTATTCATATTTACGTAATTTGGCAATTTAATGCGAACCCATACACACTAGGCTGTAGTGCTAAAAATTCTTTTAACTTTAATTTTAATTAATTTTTAAATGATTGTAAATTAATTTTTCATATCACTTAAAATTAATTAATTTTGTACCAATGCGGCTTAAAGCCAAAGAGAAAAGAAACCGGAGGTTATTACTAATCAGTAAACACATAACCTTATAGTCAAATATGAAGAAAATATGGATCACATTTGAACTAAAATTAAAAAGCTAAGTAAACTGATAACCTGATGATGACCCAATAGGCGTCGAAACATGTTATGTTCAACATAAGCTTTGTTATTACTCCTTGAATTGTGATGATGGTCACAAATATACTGTTTCGAATGACACAGAACAGGATGTAACACGCAAAGTTGAAAATGGGTTTCAAAGAAACGGGGAACTGGGTTCATTTGACTGTGGACAGGGATCGGTGGTGGTTTCTTATGAACACAATAATGAACCCTCAGGTTGCAAAAAGAACATTCGTAATTTCCCGAGTAACCGTGCGATTATAGAATTATCAGGGGGGTGGGGGTTCTGCTCAATGGAATCCGTTTTTTTTTATTGCTAGTGAGTTGGGACTAAGTCCTTTGTACTGCGGCCACTTCTGGCCTATTGTACCAGCCCCAGATGATAGGCGAGGATGATTGTGGAGCAATTGGTGGAATGAAAATTGGCAGGGGAAACCGAGGTACTCGGAGAAAACCTGCCCCAGCGCCACTTTGTCCAACACAAATCCCACTTGACCAGACCCGGGATCGAACCCGGGCCGCCGCGATGGAAAGCCAGCGACTAACCGCTTGAGCTATGGCGCTGCCAATGGAATCAGTGTGATCGATAAAACAAGACAGATTAGTAATTACTGTTCAGTGCAGTTTTTGTATTATATAAAGTAATCCGTTTGTGTTTTGTGTTTCAGCCCCGGAAAGAGGCTCGGATCCAATGCCTTAGCAAGGTAAGCAGCAAGTGAAGCTCTAGAACGTAGGGTTCTTCTGTGCTAGGCAGAACGCTTGTCAGTACCCATGCAGATGGTTGAAATACTGCCGACGGGGCTGTGTGTATGTATATGGAGGCACACTGGTGCGATTCGTTCGTTCATTGGCTCTACAGCTCTGTGGGTCCCTGGCCATACACAGTCGGTAGGAATCCATGGACGGGGGATCAGCCCGTCCCAGGGCCGCTATCTACACACAGAACAACACAAACACAGAATAAATGCACACAATACAGACATCCATGCCTTGAATGGGATTCGAACCCACGATTCCAATGTTCGAGCGGGCGAAGACGGTTCATGCCTTAGACCGCGCGGCCAGTGTGACCTACGCTTGTGTTCAGTGTATAAGGGTGCTTATGTAACTTGAAACTGGAGCTGCCGCATTTTGCGTAACTGTTAACGCCTGGTAGTTATGTAGGGAAGAGCCTGCAATACCGCAGTGATGAAGAAGTTGCCGACTTGTCACGACGATATGTACGTGTTTCGATAGTATTAATTGTCGGTATATGAGAGTGCACCATTCGCTTTAAAACCCAGCGGTTACTATATGTACCACCTGCTTTAACATACCAAAATTCTGAAAATTGCTCGCAGAGTGTATTTGTGTTCGTATGATTTTCACAATAAACAGAGACTGTGTCCCTAAAGAGCATTAACCGGTTGGGCTTTGTAGCGGAGACGTAATGTGTTTCCTGTGAGGTACGAGGTGAGTTGCTATGTATTATTTAGTATAAGTGCAGTATTTAAGGTTTTCCATGTTTTTCCTCTGTCCTAGAGCAAATGCTGAGTTTGTACCCAAATTCCACGTTGCACTGCACGCTTCACATATTGCCCTGCCAATGTTAGATCAAATTGCACTGTTAAGCAGCCCTTCCAAATTTATATAAAATTAATTCCGATCATAAGCATTGCGTATATCAGAACGACGAGAGGGCACTCCCTGGGAATCTCACTACCACTCCATTTTCTTTCTCTTCAGCATTGAACAATTTAAATATGTATAATGCAATGGCAACAAGCTATGGAGGCCCGTAGGTTTGTGAGACGTCAAGGCTCCCACGTTTTCTCTAGACACTCGGCTCACATATGGCGGTGAGGTCAGCTTTGCGCGCCGGCCGTCATTTACCCTCAGGAAGATTACTGGTACTCGTTTCTATAAGAAGCTGACTTGATTCTAAAACGATAGCGCGCCTGGAAGGATTAGGTCGGTTGAAAAATGGAAAAAATCCATTGACCTAGTTCGGGAATCGAACCCGCGACATTCCGGATTGTAGGGTAGTGCCTCAGCCAACTACGCTACAGCATAATAATAATAATAATAATAATAATAATAATAATAATAATAATAATAATGGAACTAGTTCACTACGCAAGTAATAATTTTTTAACAGAAAATGTAAGTTTACTGTTTTATATATAAGCATCATGTTGCACTATACACTTCTGTATCTAAGAATACAAATGAAGCGAATGCAACAATTTATTTGGTTGTAGATCTTTGTCTTTTCTTCCTCTACGCTACATGTTTCGGTCGTAACCGGCCATCATCAGGTGTATTTTTTCACTATGTAGCTGTCACACTGCACACAGCCCAAGATTGTTATTGAAGTATTAAAGATGAGCAGCGACGCACACATAGGGGGCCTGCACAGAACAATACGTGAACGGTGCTGAAAGCAAGAAATATCCGCTGCGGCACGTGTGGACACAGAGAAGGTGTCTCTGGTATTTAAAACTTTAAATTTTAGAAATTTTAAATTTTAAACTATAATTGTAAAATCGAATTGACGAGCGTGTGATGGCGAGATTTTAAAACAAAACTGACAGGCTGATGTTTTAGATTTTGGACTGTGTGCAGCGTGACAGCTACGTAGTGAAAAAATACACCTGATGATGGCCAATTACAGCCGAAACATGTAGTGTAGAGGAAGAAAAGACAAAGAACTACAACCAAATAAATTGTTGCGTTCACGACGGCATTTGTATTATTACATATAGAAAATGTAAGCTTTGGATTCAGAGTGTAGGAAAACATTGAATTTTGTTGCAGTTAAACGTGTGCTCCTGTAATCTTGAATGCCAGACGCACCTTTCACAAAGAAATTTTCTGTGCATAAAACTGATCACCAGCCTAACCGCCATCTTTGAGCAGATTGTCTAGATCAGTGTTTCCCAACCTTTTTGATGCCGCGGACCCCCTGTACCGAATGTTAATTCACCGCGGCCCCCATAAAACCCAAAATGGAAATTTTTAAATTTTACGAGTACATATCATAAAAATGAAGCAGTAACTTAAAATTTTACAACACTAAATGTGTCATTTATGACAATAAAATACTGTTATAAATGGAGATATTCGGAAGATTACGAACATATCAATTAGGCATAATATTATGAATTTAACACTCACCTAATGTGATGGCTGGTGCTGTTTTTCAGACGTCAACTTTCGAATGTCAGGATCAAAACTGGATAATTTCAGACGTAGATCTGGCTCCACGTTAAGTCTGTTCCTATATCTGTTTTTCATGTGTACAAGATGAGAAAATGTTGTCTCGCACAGATATGTAGTGGGAAATGGCAACAGATGTCTTACAGCCCTTTTGGAAATTTCAGGGTAAACAGACCTAGCTTGGAACCAAAACTCCAGTAACGGTAACGAAGGAAACAGCAATTTGAACGTCGAATCACAGGACAGCTCGATAAGTTGCTCTTCCTCGACAGAAGGAAGTTCAAATTCAGAGTCTACAAAGGGATTTTTCATCCAGTCGTTATTTTCAAGACCAAACGGAAAATACAGACGTAGTTGAGACGCCAATGACCTCATATGTTCAATCATACTTTCAGCAACATCACTAGAAAGGGGTTGTTCACTGGAATCAATGAAATCACTCAGCATGTGAAAGGAATCGTATTTTCCTTTCTCGATACGGCTGCACCACAAATTTAACTTCTTGATTGTTGCCTCTATCTTGTCTTGCACAGAAAACACGGTGACAGATGTACCTTGAAGGCTCGAGTTAAGAGTATTCAAGATGTTAAAAATGTCCGCCAAGTAAGCAAGAGAGGAGAGCCATGCGAAATCATTTAAATAGTGTGTTAACTGAAATTTAGAGTTTATGAGGAACAACCTTACTTCGTCTCGAAGCTCAAGCAACCGCGTCAAAACCTTACCCCGGGACAGCCATCGGATTTCTGAGTGCAATAATAAGTGTTCGTGATCACTTCCCATTTCATTACAAAGCGCAGAAAATAATCGGCTGTTAAGAGGACGGGCTTTAATAAAATTGACAATTTTTACTGCCTCGTCTAGAACGATTTTCATTTTGGAGGGCATACGGCGTGCAGCTAATACTTCGCGGTGTATGCAACAATGTGTCCATTTAACAAGAGGTGCGACTTTCTGGATACGTGCGACCAAACCATTATGTATTCCCGACATTGCCTGAGCACCATCTGTGCTGATACCTACACATTTTTCCCATTGAAGTGTATTTGTAGTTATGAAGTCATTGACAACTTTGAAAAGGGCTTCAGCAGTTGTATTAAGAGGTAACGATTCACAGAACAAAAAATCTTCACAAACTTTATTTTCGTGTTCATATCGCACCAAAGCTACCAAATTAGCATTATTTGAAATATCGTGGCTTTCATCCAACTGCAACGCAAAATATTCACTATGACGTAACCGTTCTAGCAAAATATCTTTCACATTTTGAGCCATCTCGTCGATTCTTCTTTTCACAGTATTGTCAGATAACGATATTAGAGACACCTCGTTGGCATGTTTTTCACTAAACAAGTTCTTTGTTATCGTTTTTGTAGCAGGCAAAATTAAATCTTCCCCGATTGTATGGCGTTGTCCATTTCTAGCGATCAGAAGGGCGACTTCGTAAGAGGCAAGAACAGCCTTTTCATTTTTCGTTCCACATACAATGTCCTTAACTAAATTCTGTGAACCACAAAGTTGCAGTTTCTTATTTTGAAAATATTCTATTGGCTTATTAACTGATTCGCCATGTTTCGTTTCAAGGTGGCGTCTCAACTTCGACGGCTTCATAGATTCATTCGATAACACTTCGCAACAAAGAACACACTGTGGTCTGTCTTCGCCGTCTTTATTCAGAACGGAAAATCCCATTTGCAAATAAGATGGACAATATTTGCGTGATTTTTTGAGGGAAGGAACTTTATCTGCCCTGGTACTATTTTCGACAACACTAGATCCACTCGGATTATCGTCTGTCTTACGTTTCAATGATCCACACTTTAACCACCGATCCATATCTAAATAAGATCGTGAACAAACTGAAAATCAGAAGTTTCGTTGTGAACTCAATTATTTGAACAAAAGCAGAAAAACTGAGTATTACACCGAGAAAAACACACTTGTATAATATTATAAAAATTCACTGCACAAAAACTAAAGAAACACAGGTTGTTCGCTCTGCCACTGAAATGAATAAGAAACGTGGTCAATGGTCCCAGGTTTATTCCCAACCAAAGCGGGATGGATTTGGTGGGGGAGAAGGGGAGAATGGTCGGACAGCAGGTACTAGGACAGCAGTCCACTCTGAAACACGGGTCTGAGATGCAATGGGCCGACCAAAAGAAAATGTCCTTGGAAAAAGCTACACAAATCGTTGGTTATTCACCTCTGCTTTACAAAGGGAAGAAGTAACGGTACCAACAGTCCCGTTAAATTTTACTTCAACCATGGGCCTCAAGAGCCAGAGATATACATTGCAAATATCCCAGGTGTGAGGAACATGATAAGATAAAGTTTAATGAAAATAAACTATCCCGCGGACCCCTTTTGAATTACTCGCGGACCCCCATATGTCCGCGGACCACAGGTTGGGAAACACTGGTCTAGCTAATGTGGGACCCTCGACGTCTCACAACCCTATGGGCCTTCACGGCCTGTTAGAGGGATGGCTTTACCCCTTTTTACTCGTGACGTCAGTGCTAAGCAGCTGCCGTGCTGCAGAACTTCAGTATTTTTTTCCGATTAACTGCCCATAAGTAAGATTTGAGGCTTTCACGGCGGTGACTATGAAGAAAGCAGTCTTCACACCACATATACACGGTGCCAAATCCCAGAAGACTGCTTTCTTCAACTGCCCATAAGTTTTCGATACAACTTACTTGGATGTCATAAGTACTTCGTAGTATTGTGAGGTTATTTTATCTGTTTATGTCAGTTTATTATCCATCTTTCGATTATCAGTGCCTTATGCTCATTAGCACACATAATGGAGTCTGTTGTATTCAGTACAGCAACGTTTCTCCATGTTTCGAGTTCCTTAACAGAGGCTGTTGTGATTGCACACAGTTAGGTCATACGTCACTCCGTACGGTGTAAACACTGTACCTCACAGTATATTCATTTATATGGGGACGTTAATGAAGGCCTCCAGATTATCCATATCATTTAAATTTCCTGCTTAGTTCGTACTGGCGCTGAAACCGTGTGTGGCTCTTGGCCTCCGTCATGGTTTCTTAACAGTAAATTTTTCCTGGGTGGTATCATTAGCCCCACGCCCAACTCCCTACCTGGAGGACCAGGGTCTACTCTCCGTCAGGTCTCTACCCTTTTGCTATACCAGAAGCTAACTCCGGGCCACTGAGGCTTGTAAACCTCTGCACGATAAGGTGATAGTCCTCGTGGAGGGCTTAGTAAGCTAGGATGTTTGTAATTTATAGTGTCCTTATGTGTCTGTGCTTCTACTGTTTGCTGTGAACACGGATAATGGAAATTCTTCAATGTTTGGCAGTGACTTGGGACCTCTTGTCCCATTATTCGTGCATTTACGGATCTGTGGTGTAGTGGTCAGAGTTCCTGGCTACAGATCCAGAGGTTCCGGGTTCGATTCCCGACGCTGCCAGATTTTCTGAGAAGTACTGGGTCTGGAACGGGGTCCACTCAAGCTCGTGAGGATAATTGAGGATCTATTTCGATGAAATAGCGGCTTCAGTCTAGAAGACCGAGATTAACGGCCGTGGGGATCCGTTGCGCTGACCACGTGACACCGTCTATCCGCTAAAGTTGGCACTAACTTCGCCGGCAAGCGGCGGTCGCTCGGTCGGTATAGTTCGCTTGCGGACTGCAGGCCACTGAGTTAGTTTTTGCTTGTATGGATAAGAGAGGTTGTGCTGACTCTGAGCCTGAGTTCTATGTTCCAGCCAGCTGTACCGCAGCTCCAGCTTCAATTCGTCCGGGCGCAGTTCCACGTGTGACACTGCAGATGATATATACTCGGACGTGTCGCTGGAAGAAGACGTCATCGACCTGAACCATAAGGTTAGTTGAGAGCAGTTCAGTACACAGTGCATGTGGGCGGGAAACATGCCGGACAATATATTATATTGAAGAATCCTGTTGCACTCTACACTTCTATATGTATAATATAAATACCGTCGTGAATACAACAATTTATTGTAGTTCTTAGTCTTTCTTCTTTTACACTACATGTTTCGACTGTAACGGGCCATCATCAGGTGTATTTCACTTACGTAGCTCTCACACTGCATGTAATTTAAAATTAAGAACACCAGCTCTCTCAATTGTCATTGCTGCGTTTCAGTCGGTCCCGATATACAAGAATTCCCTTGCTGATTTTGTCAGTTACGTTTAAAATCTCTGTTAATATACACTCGTCGATTTGATTTAAATTTAAATTTTTTAAAAATTTAAATTACAAGGACACCTGCTCTGTGTCTACATTTGCTACTTCTTGCTATTATATTCTTCTGCACTACACGTTTCGGCCGTAACGGGCCATCATCAGGTGTATTTCACTTACGTAGCTGTCACACTGCATGTAATTTAAAATCTAAAAACACCAGCTGTCTCAGTTGTCATTGCTGCGTTTCAATCGGTCCCGATATACCAGAATCCCCTTGCTGATTTTGTCAGTTGTGTTTAAAATCTGTTAATATACCCTCGTCGATTTGATTTAAATTTAAAATTTTTCTAATAACGGACAGGTTTATCCTTTGTTCTGTATGGGAAGTCAAATTTTAATTTCAGTCCAGTCTCTTTTAAGGGCTGGTATAGAAATAAATGCAAAGTATATTATAGCGTATAGGGCCGTAAACACGTTCCCACGGCAACGGATACGCATGCAACTGTTTTCTACTCGGTTCCTGCAAAGGGGTTATAAGGAGGACAGTTGAAGCAAGAAGAGTCAATCCCGTGTGGAGGCGGAGTCGAGTACCTCCCACCGTAGCCCTGCGAATCTTAGGAGGCAAGAAAAAGAGAAGTCTCGAGTCACGCGGGACACGGACCCGAGAATGACTACTCTGGCGAGGGCCAACAACAATTGTAAACGATAGACCCGTCTTCTCGTCAGCGAGGGTGCCCCACATCAACAAACATTCAACTGTCTGACACTGATAGAAATCTGGTCGTAAGCCCCAGATGGGTGCTTTATCCCAAGACAGACTGGCCGACTGACCATCGGTCGTAACATGAGACTGGACACGGCTCAAGAAGAGTCAGTTATACTTCAATTTATGCCTACATTTTCCAGTCACTCTCTTCCTATAACGTTCCCTGACAGAAACGCCTTATGCATTTGTTTCCCCAATTAATGCTGCATGTTCTGCCAATCTCA